CTAAATGGGTGAGGGTTGCACTGTTCATATTTTCCTTGGGAGAAAGTTTTATAATGGGGGTGCTGTCTCTGAGAAGGCTCTGCTTGTGGCCACTCTTCTATAAGCCAAACCAGGGGGACCATCTGGTCTAAATGGATGGTAAACATAGATGATTAGGGGGCTGGAGGCTAAAACATATGACAAATGTTTGTGGGAATTGGGTATGTCTAGCTTAGTGAAAAGGACTAGGGGTGGTGACATGATAGCAGTGTTCCAATATTTGATGGGCTGCCACAGAGAAGAAGGGGTCAACCTATTTTCCAAAGCATCAGAAGGCAAATAATAGATGGAAACTAATCAAGAAGAAAACCAGGACTTGTGAAAACAACTAACCAGTGAAAAGGCTTGCCTTCAGAAGTTGTGGATGCTCCATCACTGGAGGCTTTTAGTAGAGATTGGATATTCCATTGTCTGGAATGGTATATGTCCCCTGCTTGAGCAGGAGCTTGGAGTAAAGACCTCAAAGGTCTCTTCCAACTCTTATTCTTTGAGAGAAGTGCTGCCAACCTCTCCCCCTCTCCTCGTCCCTTCCTGGGCACAGAGAGAAGGAGGGAAGGAAGGAGGGGAGGGAAACAGGAAAAAAGTAAGGGAAGGAAGGAAGGAGATGGGAATGAAAAGGAGGGAGGCAGGGAAGAAGGGGAGGGAGGAAGGAAGGAAAGAAGGAAAGAGAAGGCAGGAAGGAAAGGAAGAAAGAGAAAGAAAGAGAAGGAAGGAAAGAAAGAAAGAAAGAAAGAAAGAAAGAAAGAAAGAAAGAAAGAAAGAAAGAAAGAAAGAAAGAAAGGAGAGAAGGGAGGGAGGGAGGGAGGAAGTAAGGAAGGAAGGGTCTGAGGGAAGTCCTGCTTTAGCACTTGGCCACCAGCAGCCCTGTTGCCCTTTTGCCATTCCCTGGTGGTCTTCCATCCTATTGCTGAGGATGCTTTGGTTACAAAGCCAGGTTTCCTCACATGGAGAGGGAGTGGGCCTCCCTCTGACCCACACACTTTGTCCTCCTGCACCCACCATGAGCAACCTGGCCAAGGAGAGTGAGCATAGCAGCAGCAGCATTGAGGAGGAGGTAAGTGCAGCTGGGCGCCCCCTCGGGGAAGTGCGGCTAGGCTAGGCAGGTCTGTGAGGTCCTGATGCCGCCGGGCTGGGCACTTGACCTCTGCTGCCCAGGGCTCTGGGCAGTCCATGCCACTGTCCAGGGGCCCCGTGCACAGCCTGAGGCTCAGTGAGGCTCCTCCAGTGGACCATGCCCTGGCGCTCGCCCCCTGTCCCACCCACCCTTCCCCACCCTCGGATGCGCCTCATTCCTACCCAGGCCCGCACAGGTGCCCCTGACATGAGTGACATGGAGCTGGCCATGCCCACCCAGTAGGCCACGCCCATGCCAGCCACACCCACCCGGCCCCCCAATGGCAACCACGATGCTGATGCGGCCCTCAATGAAATTGAGTTTGACACCCCTGTAGCACAACAGTGATTCCCAGTCAATGGCACAAACTCCACAGATGGGATTTAGAAGTGTAGTGAATGTAGTCTGGATTCCCAGGAGGGAGGGGCTATATTCCAGAGGGATACATGATGAGTTTGGTAGCAAGGAAGAGAGTTAAGAAGACTCCTCCCTAGCGATTCCCAGAGTATATCTATAGTGATGCAAATAGTCGCTTTAGTTTGGCAAGACTTCTGCCTATAAGTGAGGAACAATAAAGGAAACTACTCAGAAGTAACTCCATGTGTCATTCTTGGTTCCCAGGAGCCTGACAAGAAGTCATGAACGGGATGTACGCAAAGTTATTGAAATGTTAATGAAGTCTTTAGAACTTCAACTGGATGGGACTTAAACTATGGAAGTCTGGAAACCACTGCATTTATTAGATATTACATTTTGTTAGAAAAACCAACCACTCCCAATTTTTACATATCAAGCTATGATCAAAAGATGAGAAAATATGTACTTTAATAAAGAGTCAATTGGCATTTCAATTATCAATAGGATCCAGGGATGGGAGAAGGAACAATAATTACTATAATAAGTATTGATTTTCTTTATCAACGATAATTCAAAGTGGCCGGTAGCATAAAAACTACAGACACAATAAAAAAAAATCAATAGAACACAAATAACAAAGGGGGGGGAGAAAACTCCCCAAAACAATAGAGAAAAATAAACCCCCAAAGAAAAATGTTTTTCTTTCTTTTCCTGCAGGAACAAAATGAAATATTGTAACAGCTCATAATAACACAACAGTCAGCTCACCATATAGAATAGCTATGGCAGAAATCCAAAGCTGAGACAATTTGTCGGAAAAACTTCCTGGCTTCCTTGGGGGTCAGACGGCCTTTCTTCACCAAGTAATCGAAAAGTTCACCTCCTGAGACGTGTTCCAGGACGAGGTACCTAACACATTAGAAGTCCAGAGACAGCATGACTAAGCAAGGACAACAATTAAAAAGAAATTGAAAATCCATCAGACCACCATGGGAAGCAAACCCAGAATCCATTTCAACCAAGGAAAAAACATTTTCTTTGCAAAGAAAATTAAAGAGAGATGTAACACTTTGATCTTGAGAGCTAAAAAGGGAAAGAGAAGGGGGGGGGGAGATGAAGAATTCAAAATATTTTATATTGTTTTACCATGATTGAATCACTAACTGTTACACAGCCCCAAACAGAGAACAAGCAGAGCTGATTCAAGCCATGACTACATTTTTTTAATAGGAAAGACTTCTGTTTAATAAATATTGTGTGAAGTTAGCTGTACATGGGTGGCTGGGTGGCAGCTGTGTGCTCTGATTGAAGGAGGGTCTGGCCTTGGCTTTCTAGAAAGTGTTTCCTGCACAGGCAGCAAAATACAGTTAATCCTCGACTTATGACCGTAATTGAGTCCACAATTTCAGTCGTAATCCATGATGGACGTAAAGCAGGTCAACATGTGACTGGACCCGGTTTTCTGACCTCTTTTGCAGTAGTCGTTAAGTAAACATGAAAGTTGTTAAGCGAACACCACAGTCATTAGGCAAACCCATTGTCTACTATGAGGTGTCTGTGGAGATTCTCAGTCATCCAGGTCATAGTTGTCTCCAAGGTGCTTTTTCAAAAGGCGACTGGACTGTTTTTTCTTTTGAGGAAAAAGATGCTTCATCAGTTGTGATCGGGGGTGGGGGTGGGATGGAATGGAATGGAATAAAAATGAGAAACAAAATGTTTTGTTCTTCTTCCTCAAGGAAAGAACAGTCCAGTTGCCTTTTGAAAAATCACCTTTGAGATCATTGTGAGGTGGTTTCTCCAGAAACCAGAAGCAAACGCTGGTTTCCAGCAAAAATGTCGTAAACTCAGTCACGTGACCATAGGGTGTTGCAAACATCTGTCAATGCAGGCTGCTGGTCAATTGTTTTACGGCAGGGGGTGGGGCAGGACATCAGAACTTCATAAACAAGATAATTAGTTCCATTTTTGGAATCCACTGTAACTTTGAACGGTTTATTAAGCGACTGGTCATAAGTCAAGGATTACCTGTGCATGAGCATGACTTTCACCTCTGGCACTTCCACATAATACAGTCATGTGCTGTTTTTGATAAGAAAGAGCTTTCCATTGGGACAGCAGTCTGTTCCTCAGTTGGAACACTGTAATGTTAGGCAAGTTTAATTTGAAAGTTAATTTGAAATTCTGCAGTGTTGATGGGACTGAATTCCAAAGACTGACACGTCAGTATATAGGGAATCACTCCCATTCAAGTCAATTAAGCTTCCAGGGGAGTAAATAAGTAGTGAGGATTATGATTAAGAGAGAATTTCCAAGAATTATAATAATAATAATAATAATAATAATAATAATAATAATAATAATAATAATAACAACAACAACAACAACAACAACAACAACAACAACAACAACAACTAAGTCAGAATATCAGCAAATAGCCTGAGCCTGCAAAGATGAAGTGAGGAAAGCCAAGGCTCAAAATGAACTAAGTCTTGCGACCAAAGTCAAAAATAACAAAAAAAGCTTCTTTCAACATGTAAAAAACAAGAAAAAAGTGAAGGAAATGATTGGTCCATTAGTGGGTGAAAGTGGCAAGAAGGTGACAAGCAACAGGGAGAAAGCAGAACTATTTAACTCGTTTTTTGCATCTGTCTTTACACAAAGGGAAAAAACAGACCAACCTATCAAAA